GGCGTGTTAACCCGAGCATTGCCAGTTACCGCAGGGGGTTGAAGCAAGACGTACGGGTTGGGTTAGTCCCCATTCTCAACCTGGATCGCACATTAGAATATTTTTAAAAGTCCCGGTCTCCAGACTAATGAAATCAATCTGAGGGGGCAGTGCGGGGATGTGGTCCAGGGAGCCAGGTGGTTCTGGTATACAGCTAAGGTTGAGAGTTGCTGGTCTAGGGCAGAGGTAGGCAGACTCTGGCTCAGAGCCCGTTTTTATCAATAAAGTTTTATTGGCACCCAGCCACACCCATTCATTTTCATATCATCGATGGCTGCTTTGTCACTACGGTGTAGAGCTGAGTAGTTGGGCAGAGTCGAAGAGTTGCAACAGAGATAGCACACGGCCCGCAAAGCCTAAAATATTTATCTGACCCTTTACAGAAAAAGTTTATTGACCCCGGGATAGAGCCTGCTATAAAAGGTTAGTAAGAGAATCTCCTGGGCTGGCCGGAGAGTTTGCACAACTCTTTCAAGTATTCTGGAAAGTCATACTCTGCCAGTAACTTTATATCCTGGCGTCAAAATCTGAGAAGTGAGTGAGCAACAGAGAAAAACGGGTTTTGTGCTCGACTATGATTCTCGCTGAAATATCATCTCTCATTTTTCAGTCGCCTGGGGACACACTTGGACACAGTTTCCCAGGGCCCTGACACCTGACCCCCAACCCAGGCAGACTCAGAAACAAGGCCTCGCTGTCCCCTGGTCAAAAGTAGGGCGCGCGGAGCCTCGAGTTTCATCCCAAACAGTCCTCCGGCCCCGGCGGGACACATTCCACGTCTCATGTTTCTGCTGGGGACTGTCTGAGGCACAGAGAGCCGTGCGTGGGGGCTTTGAGAAGTGGCCTCATCCCAGAGCTCCCTGGACCTCGGGACGTGGGACTAGACCGTGTGTTTACTCCTGTGTCCGCCGGGATTGAAGAGTCACTGCACCTGGCAGCCCAACTAAAACGGGTTTTAGTGTTGTCATTTGTTGCCAGGTTCTGTCTGTGCCTGGCTTATCCAATGGCTCAGCCCCTACTGCTCAAAGCCTTCTAGTCAAAAATGGAGGGAGGGAGGGAGGGAGAAGGGGGAAGAAAGTCTGGCAGGTTTGCCTGACTGAATTCCAGAGAAGGCGCAAGGTTAGGGTGGGGTAGGGGGTTCAAGGTTAAAGATTGGGGAAGAGGGTAAAAGCCACCAGATGAGGTCCGATCACCTCCTGGGGTGCCAGGCAGCATGGAGAGTGGCCTTCTGACCTGGCTGTCATACATATATGCAGTGAGCTATCCCGCCCCAGGCATTTCCAGAGGTGACGGCAGGCGGATTCTGGCCAACGTTTTCATTTTTGGACACTTACGCAGCCGGGCCAGCAGTGTGGCCAGCAGCAGATTCATGGGTAGCGGAGGTCGCTTGACTACGATGCGCTTGACCACACACAAGGGTTGTATCAGGTGCTGCTGGGAATTGGGGCCAGACGGAATGGCTGGTGTCCACCAGGTCCCCATGAGCCTGCAAGGCCAGGTTTGAGGAGCCTGCCTCACTCAGGGCCATAGGTGTCCAGAGTCGAGTTCCAGATGCTCGGGGAATAAAACTTCATCGTGTTCACGCACGCGCACCTTTCACAGGGAGAATGGTACGAACAGATGCCCTGGCACAGATAAACCGGCACTGTCATCATCATTGCTCAATGTGACTGGGCACTTAGTATGTGCCAGGTGCAGTTCTCCGTGCTCCATGCTTATTAACTTGTTTAACTGTCACGATGACCCTGTCAGGAGTGTACTATTTATTTCATCCTGGCTTTTACAGTGAGGAAAATTGAGGTACAGAGAGTCAGAGGTCACGCTGCTCGTTTGGGCCAGGGCAAGGCCGTGGCGCAGGCTGCCTCGTCTCACCTGCGGACTTGCCCTCCGATACCCAGTTCCATCCCCCCCCCACCACCCCAAAACACATACCACAACTTACTTCCCCTTATCGCTGTCCAACCGTGGTCTTAAAATGCAAACCTGTCCAGTCACTCTTCTGCTCAAGAACCTTCGATGGCTCCCTACTTGCTTTCGGAACCGAGTCTCTGACACACAGACCCTGTGACCATTCGCCCCGGGTGCCTCCCCTGCCGCATCTCCCCCGCACGACATACTCCCGTCAGACCACAGCACTCGCCTTCCCCAGCATACCCACACTGCCTGCCGCCTCTGTGCCCCCGGACACATTTCTTGCACCTAAAATGCCACAGTGTGATGTTTTCTAAACTGCCTGGTTATAAGACTCGCCTAAAGAACCTGTAAAAATAAAACGTTATCAATTCCTAGGCTCGCCTGTTGAATCTGGATCTCCGGGTGACAGACCTGGGGAATCTGTATGTTTCTCAAGTCCTTAGGGTGATCCTTTTGACCCGGCAAGCTGGAGAAATGCTTCCTTAATATGCCTTTTTCCACTAATGGACTTCTGCTCATCCATCTTTCTAGATGGTCATCACCTCCAGGAAGACCACCTGATGCTCCTCCTTCCCATAATAACATTTATCGAGTTCTTACTGTGGTCCTGCAGTGTTCTAAGAACTGGGTGTGTGGGGACCCCTTCTCTTCCTGCGAGGGGTGCTGTTGTGCTCACCGTCATCGCTGAGGAAACTACTGTGGATATTCCTTAGCCGGGGGAAGTTCTCAGGAAGCCCAGAGAGGCAGAAAGGATTGAGCAGGCAGAGAGGGTTCTGAACCTAGGAGCGTGCCTTCGGAGCCCTCACTCGGTCACCCAATGTGGCCAGATCGCACCGACCACTAGCGTGGTCATCTTCTGGGCAGAGGGCGGGCTGGCTCCCTGGCTTCCTTTCTCCTCTGCTAAACAGCGAAGGCCAGGAGGCAGGCATCCGCCATCCCCATGTTAATGCCCAGGAGACGTGTGGCAGGAGCAGAAGGAGAAAGGTCGACAGGAGGGGCCGGCGAGTGGGGGAAGATGCCCTCCGTGTTCGGGGCCGCGGAGGAAGGCAGGAGCGGGAAAGGGGTCGATGCGGGGAAAAATACAAGCCGCCTTTTTCTCCGGCAGGTGCAACCTGGCCCCCGTGCAGGAATACGCCCGGGACGTGGGGCTCAAGACAGACCTGGTGACCATGAACCCCTCGGTCATCCAGCGGGCCTTCGAGGACTTGGTCAATGCCACGTGGCGGGAGAAGCTGCTGCAGCGGCTGCACAGCCTCAACGGCAGCATCCTGTGGATCCCCGCCTTCATGGCCCGGGGCGGCAAGGAGCGCGTCGAGTGGGTCCACGAGCTCATCCTGAAGCACCGCGTCGACGTGCGCACCGCGTACCCCTCCCTGCGCCTGCTGCACGCCGTCCGCGGGTGAGCGGCCTCCCTCCCCCACGCCCTCCGCACCACCCCCCCTCACCCCTTTCCCCGATCCAGGCAAGGGCGCTGTCACCGAGTGGGGACGCTGCCTGGCCAGCAACATCCCCTTCCCGGACGCGTCTCCACCCTGGCATGACGATTTTGACCACCGGGTAGTGCCTGCCTGGAGCGCCGTGTTGAGGATAAACCGTAAGGGGGGCGCCGGGAAGGGAAGCGGGAACACTTGCTGGGGAGCTGTGGCAATGGTCCCAGCAGGAAAGATCGTGGGGCTCAGACCAGGACATATATGTGCTATCAAGTTTGGAGTAGAGGCAGCAGGCCTGGCCGACGGGGTC